AAAATCATCAACAAACCCAATTGAAAAAAAAATACGAAACTGATTAGGAGAGGTGGATGGCAAGGCGAGGTACCAGGGTCAAGTAAGTGAGGAGTTTTGGATAGGGGCTGAGGGGAGGAAGATGGTGGTGTCGAGGAAGGTCAACGACAGCAGATACATGTCGGAAATGGCTGTCGCACGCGTTGGAGAATGAAAATGGGTTGCAAAAATCAACCAAATTGGGGGTTATCAAGGTTGGGAAAACGTTTGGGAAATCATAATGTGATTTATCTGGTAGATTTTGGTGAGAAAATTGACCGTAATCATCACTTTAACGCTGGCGGTAGCACTATAGCGATGTAGAAGGGTGGAGATGTAATGTTTTCATCATTTTACGGATTGAATGGGTGTTTTTAAATTTTAGAAATGTAAATAACTATTTTAGTTAATCAGGGGTGTGAATGGAAAATATGAAACATGGTTTTTTTGTAAATTTATGTAAAAAAAAAAAATTAAAATGAATTTGGGCTTTTTGGCTTTTTTGGGGCCCTTTGGACCGGTTTGGATAAAAAATTGTAAATTTTTTTGGGTCTAATGGTATTTCAGTAAATCTATTTAAAAAAAAAAAGAAACTTAAAATAATTTTGGACTCCTTTTTGGGCCTTTTTTTTTGGGGGGCCCTGGGGAGGTGAGTCACCTGCCCACCCCTTGGGCCGGCCCTGCTCTGATCCTGTCAAAATCATCTAAGTCTTCAACCACTGTTCCTAATTGCTTTTTCTCAGAAAATCCGTCTCTACCATGAAAGTTTGAAACTAAATGGAATGGTTTCAGTGCGTTAAAATTTCGCTGAAGGGCAAAGGGAAATTTAAATACGTAAATGGCACTATCAAGGTACCAACAGTAAATGATGATTCTTATCAAGTTTGGGAAGTTGAAAACTCTACGTTGATGTCTTGATTGCTCCAATCTATGCAACCTGAAATCAACAAAACTTATCTTCTACCACCGACGGCAACAGAGATTTGAAAATCATAGTGGTTTGCAACTCAAATCTACCAAATTAAGAGGCGGATTGCCAAACTGAAACACGGAACTTTAAGCGTTACAGAGCACTACCACGTGTTAAAGGGCCTAGTAACTGAATTGGACCTTTATCGGAAAGTGGAGATGGAAACAGTTGAGGATAGACGGAGTAGTTTTTGCTGTGAATATTCACTTGCTTAGAAGGTAAGTTTCTCGATGCTCTTCACAGTTTTTTTCAACTCCCATACGCTCTAGATAATAGACTCAGGTGCTTGGTGATCACATGACCAGTTTGTCACATTTGTTCTCTTCATATTCTCTCTGTCCTGGTAATCTCAAGGTTAAAACTGCAGATGATTCATTGTCTCCTATTGCAGGAAAAGGAACAATTGTTCTCTCAAAAAATTCAACATTACTGTCTGTTCTCCATGCACCCAATTTGTCCTGTTATATTATATCCATGAGTAAACTTACCTAAGATTCAAATTGTTGCACTAAATTCAAGAATAAAAGTATTTGCCAGTATCAATGTGAGATTTGTCAACTTCCTAAGCATCACCGTGTCCATTTCCTATTCAACCATATAAACAATGCAAACCTTTTATTTCTGTATTATTAGGGATGGTATATTAATAGAAAGAAATATTAACTTAAAGATTAATGAGAATGTTTAAAGAAATGTGTTTGGTTAGTTAGAATAAATTGGTGGGTATGTTATATTAATATGTTTAGTTTGGATGAATAAATTGGTGGGTATGTTATTTAAATTATTGAATTATCCTTGAATTAAATATTATTATTATATTATAATTTATATTAATATGACTCCCCTACATTTATAAACTTAGCAAAAACAACCACATAATAAAAGTTTGGAAAATCAACAATGCACCTCCACCAACCCAGCCACTGTCGGCCATCGGCCACTGGTAGCTGGCAACCTAACTGTGCACGGAAGGCCGAAAATGGCCTCCGTGCACCGATATAGCCATTTCTGGCCGAAAATGGCCAGATCATAACATATCTAGAACAACCAGATTGATGGCCGTTAACGGCCATAGACATCGGCGCACGACGGCCATTTCTGACCTTCTGTGCATCGTTTCGGCGGCTGTGGTGGTGGCTTGGGTGGGCTGTAATTTGTTTTGAATTCAAGGGTAATTTTATCCAAAAAGTTAATTAATTGGGGTAAAATTGTAAAAGCTAGATTCATATAAATTGATTTTAAAACAAAGGCATTATTGTCCAAAAATTTTATTAATAAGGGATAAAATTGTAACAAAAATAAGATAACCAAGTAATTTTACAATACCTAAGAATATGAAAATAATCAGATTACCTCCAATATTACTAACAGTAACTACTATTGATATTGAAAGATTACCGGGATCTTATATTACTTGATAACCAAACGTGATATTCAAGTAATATGAGATGATATAAACTTAGTAATCCATATAACCTTCAACCAAACACCCCCTTAGGGACTCTCACGGATCGCTATTATCTCGATTCCTTGCTAAGTGTTTCCTTGTAGAGAAGTGGCTTGAATTGATTTTTTTATCATTTACAGTTTCATTTTTCATTTTTACCATAACAATTAGGGGTGGAAAAATCCTATTTACCGGACCAGTTCGACACTTTCTTAAAGCGAATCAGAAAACGGTTCAAGTAAAAAATCAAACCGAAACTGAACCAATTTTCCACATGAATCTGTTTGTAACCAGTTTTTTTTTAAACATTTTTTAACTTACTTAAATTTAGTTCTAGAAATATCAAATTTTGAAATCAACCCATCATTCAATTCAACCCATTAGATATTTACAAAAGAGTGAAAGAAAAGACACACACCACCATATGTGCAATGTTTTAATAACTAACCCTGGGTGAAACCCAACGAAGTTGTCAGGTCCCGGGTTGATCGGTTTAACCAACTGGTCAAACCGAGTGTCAAAAAATTTAAAATTCAATAAATACACCCCTAAAAATTATGTTAAGTCTCAACAGGTTTGAAATTTAGTAAATACACCCTAAATATAAATCGACGGTCGACTGGTTGGCAACGGCGACACACCAAATGCAATCCAAATCATCCATTGAGCCAATTCCCCAGAAAACCTACCCAAGATATGGCCGAAATCGATCAACAACCCAGGTCAGATCCTACCACCACCAGCGTTGACAACTCAGGTCAGATCTCACTACTGCTGACGTCGACAACCCTCCTCATCACCACGAAAATACTCTTCTCAGCCTCTTGACCAAAATCCATCTAACCCCACCCTCATTCACATTGTCAATCGTTAGAAAAGCCGACTGTTGCCACCATAAGTTTTTTTTTTTTTTTTTCGATCAATTAACTCACCGGAAATCACTTTCGTTGCCACTATTGCATTCAATAGCACTTCCTCTTTAAAAGCCCCAACATCTCAGCCTTCAATTGTTTGCCGATCATCATCCAAAATTCTCAGGTTTTGGGTGAAAAGGAAAATTGTTAACCTGACCCGATGAAGGTCCCCAGTCCCAATTCAATCGACTAGGCCGAGTGGTGTTTTACAACACTACATGTGTGGCAGAAGGAGATGTGAACAAATCTAGAAGCCTCAGGACCACCGTGTCCATCATAAACACCAATATATGTGGCAAAAGGAGACGTGAGCACCTGGATCTGGTGTTCAAGTCTTTAAGATTAAAGTTTGCCTGAACCACCGCGATCGAGTAATTACCAAATGCATGCAGCTTCAAGTCCGAGTGCTACAACAACCCATCACTACCACCACCTCACCTCCATAAACACCTGCAACACAACCGTAACATCATCATTATCCTCATATGACCTTGTTGTGTATTTTGTTTTTGTGTCTGATTCTTAAAAGTAATAGTTTATAAGTTGTTTTGTGTTGTGTGTGTATGTGTTCTGGTAATGAAAAAATAGAAAAAGGGGTAGTTGGCGTTGAAGGATATATAGACAGAGATAGGGGGAGATTAAAGGGAAGTCTTTATGAAAAATAGATGTTGCGTGATGTAAAAGAAGAAGACGGCGAAATTTGACTTGAAGGGAGGCAAATATGAAATTGAGAGAGTTAGGGTTTGTTTGACTTTAGAGTGAATGTGAAATAAACCCAAATTAATTTAGGAGTTTAGTTTTATAAAAACCAGTTTAGAAATCCAGTTTCCGTTAACCAGTTTACATTATTGGTTGAATCAATAATCGAACCAGAAAATCGGTTCAACCAATATCCCAAACCGCATCCGAACTAGATTAAGAAAAAAACCAATTTTTTGGTTCAATTCCGATCCAGTTTTCCGATACAATTCAGTTTCCGGATTTTTTTTTTTCCCACCCCTAGTAGAAATCTTACACATCATTAATTTTTTTTTTTTTTTTTTTGGTGGGGGGGGGGGGGGGGGGGGGGGGGTAGGGGGGGGGGGGGGCGGGGGGCGGTGGGATGTTTGGTAAGTAAAAATTCATTAGAAAAAAAGGACTATACAAAAAGAGACCATAAAAAGCGGCCAACCTACATAGGACATTACTTAGGTTAGGCTCAAAAGAAACATGTAATCACAAAGACTACTAGCTAATTGCTATACAAAGCAACTATCACAAAAGAAGACAATGACAATGCGCCCTCAGCCGAGGCTATCCAAAGCAAACAACACCGCCCAAACAAACCAATCAATCACAATGCTAACTACACCAAAAGAAGACACTACAACCTACATAAACAAAAGATCCACCACCGTAGGCCGTGGCTGTACCAAACTAATCTACCCAAATCATGCTCTACACATCATTAATTGAACTACTTGTCAATACAACATTCCCAATATTCAAAGAATAATTGGGTGTTTTTATAAAGCCTTGTAAAAAGCAGGTATTCTCAATATAATTATTGTAAAGACAATAAAAGAACTGAAAGAAAAAGCTCCTCAACTCTTCATGAGTTTCTTCTAATGAAAACACAACTTTCACTTTCCTACAATATAACTTTAAAAAGTATTGTAAAATATCCAGCTAGACAATTGATTCCATCAATGTATAAACAAAGTTGGTATAGTTACAGTTAACACACTGAAGGCATAAATCCAATATCGGAGAAAATATTTTCAAAAAAAGAAAAGGAAAACAAAAAGAAAGTATTTTATACTTAGAGAACTCCGAAAAAGGGATTATTTATTGCGGAATTCAGCTCAGCGCCAGCTGAATTGAGCAATTCCATTTCCACTTTGTCTCGCGGTAGAAACAGGAACTCACCCCCTTCAATTTTCTGAAATCCGCACAGCTCAAGAAACTCTATTCCCCCCTTCAGTGCACCAACTCTATCCTGTTAAATACACAATGCAAGAACAACAAGCACAGCAGCCAATGAGTAAGAGAGTGAGAAAGAGAACCGAGTTAGAGTGTACTAGATCTGGCAGGCCAGACAATAGTGTTGAGAAGCCAACTGAATACGAAATCTCTATGTTTCTATAAAGATGATTGAATAAGAAAAAATGATATTTTAATCTCTATGTAGTGTGATGTCTGTTCATTTAAGCCAAGAGGAACTGAACACAGAATTTTTTTGAAAATAAGGACTAGATTATTCCATTGTTGTTTTTTTTTTATTTTTTTTACATGAGATACAAAATATTGTCAATTTCATCCACCACCAAACAATGCCTGCAATGGAAATGAACAAATGACAAAGGAAATTGAGTAATTACTGAATGGAAAGACCAAACATAACAAAGACCAATCATGCTTATCAAAAGTGCCAACCAAAACCGAGTTAAAAGAATACATTTTGGGGAGAGGATCCCAAGTTACATTTGAAAAGATTCAATTCAAATATAAGAACAAGGGAAGAAAGTGGTGATGGAGGTTCCAGATGTCAATGATGGTGCATTTGGAATTTCACAATAATCGGGTATTGCAAAGATGGTAATTCTGGAGGTGGCTGCTAGTGACAAGGATGAAGAAAGAAGAAATCATGGTTAAGGAAGATTATGCTTCTGGTGAAGTATGTCCGACAGTGAAGGTATGATTGCATAACAATTACATGTTTATGTCAGCGGTTGATATCATATAGGTAAACTCTAGGGCAAGAAATTGGCAATGAAGTTGGTGGTTATGCTGGAAAAACCAGAGAACTAAGGAAAACTGTAGGCTGATGACACAAATCCTATCATTAGCAGCAGTTTTGGATCTCTAGACAAGAAAATTCCAGCTTCCTCGATAGTATCGTGTTATTATGAGGTCATTTGGGAAAAAAAAATAAAATAAGTAACACTCATAACAACCATCAGGTATTTTGTCCTTGACAAATAGATTATTGATACTCAGGCCTATGTCAACAAATGTACTCAAAGAAAATCTGAAAGGGTAAAAATCTAATCATGACTATGGGTACAACCTGTCTGCCTCTGAAATTTATGTATTGCTTAGGATAAGAGTGTATAATTATCTATTCTAAGAAGTTCCATACCTGAAAGGTCTGGTTATTGAGTCTAATTTTTCTGAACTTCTCCTCGTTAGGATTTTTGGCTACATTCCCTATATATGTAAGAAGCGTCTGGAATGCTCTCTTCACTCTGGCATCATCATCCTAGTACCACAGAAAACAAGCCAAGAGAATCGTTAGTAATATAAACCATATTAAAGTAATATCAAGCATTACAAGCATTACAGAAACTGCGCAAAATAAAGTTTAACAAAACAAAAAATGGAAAAAGAAAATTAGTGGGGAAAAAAAAATAATTTTGTTGTCTGAATGATAAAATATAAATTACACAATAAATTTAAATGCATGGTTCCACAGCAACTACTTTGCATTGATATAACATCTCATACAAGATGTTATCACAAATGCTCATTCAGTTTTATACTGCACAAAATCTTCCTAATTATAGAATCATCATCTGTTACATGTTCATTCATCAACCTATTTTCACATTTGCAAACAATAGAAACCTAGACCTCTATTTATACAGGTTTCAACAACTAAACAGGAAAAGAAATTACACTAATAGGAAAGTAGATCAACCTATATGAAGAAGTCCACCACTCCTATCCAATTAGAAAATAAGACTGGTTAACTCTTTGAATGATATATAATTCATCCAAATTTATTAAATATCTATTGAATTGGTTTTTATATACACATCCATTCATTTTATGCTACATATGTAAACTGATGTAGCATAACTCTTTGAATGATATATAATTCATCCAAATTTATTAAATATCTATTAAATTGGTTTTTATATACACATCCATTCATTTTATGCTACATATGTAAACTGATGTAGCATAACTCTTTGAATGATATATAATTCATCCAAATTTATTAAATATCTATTAAATTGGTTTTTATATACACATCCATTCATTTTATGCTACATATGTAAACTGATGTAGCATAACTCTTTGAATGATATATAATTCATCCAAATTTATTAAATATCTATTAAATTGGTTTTTATATACACATCCATTCATTTTATGCTACATATGTAAACTGATGTAGCATAACTCTTTGAATGATATATAATTCATCCAAATTTATTAAATATCTATTAAATTGGTTTTTATATACACATCCATTCATTTTATGCTACATATGTAAACTGATGTAGCATAACTCTTTGAATGATATATAATTCATCCAAATTTATTAAATATCTATTAAATTGGTTTTTATATACACATCCATTCATTTTATGCTACATATGTAAACTGATGTAGCATAACTCTTTGAATGATATATAATTCATCCAAATTTATTAAATATCTATTGAATTGGTTTTTATATACACATCCATTCATTTTATGCTACATCTGTTTGTATAAAGGAGTTTGTATGCAAAAGTTTGTACATATATAATTATTCCAAAAAAATAAAAAATGAAAGTAAATCATAAGGTAATAACATTAAATTCCTAAAACCTCCAGGTTGTCCTACATCAGAAACATCTCTTTTACAAAATTGACCATTGGATCTCATTTTTCATCTATGTGCATCTTGCACCACAAGTTCAGTTCAATCAAACATCCAACGTCTCGGCTCTAAGTTTATGCATTTTCAAGGTATGCAACTAACAAAAATGGTTTGAAACTAGGATTACATGTAGCAATAACAATTACGAATTGTGTACTTGCACAACCATTAAAATAAATAGAAAGCCATCAAGTCAGAGAGCGAATGCTTAATGCCCTTTAAGAGTGTACAATAATCAAGTAATAATCAAGAGTATTGTCTACCAGTTATATTTACCTTGTGATTCTGCTTAAGAGATCGCAAACACTCTCTCATTTGCTCTACCTTTGTTGCAGGCCTAACAGGCAATGAGCTCTGCAATTTCAATAATAGGAAAAATAAATATATATTTTAAACACGTGTTGAACAAATTTTTACAAGCCATACATTAAAACCATAATAACAAACAACCTCATACCTTTTTCTCTTCCACAACAGGTGTTGAAGGTTTTGCAGTTGCAGGATCTTCTGGAGGCAATCCAAGCCTTCTCCTCCTTTCTGCCTGTAAGATATAATTAAGCTACATCATCCAACTATAACAAACAAACTCAAAAGTAAAATAAAATAGTTTATGAGATAAAGATTATTGGTATGGGCAGTAGAAGATTCAGCATAAGCACTTTCTCTATTAAGTTAGCAGTAACCTTGTCTTCTTCCAATTTTTGACGAATTTTTTCCCTAGCTCTTTTTTCCTCCTCTTTCTCAGCTTTCCGCAAGGCCAACAAACTAGACCAAAACAATTGTTTCATCCAAAAAGATAGTAAATTAAAGTCATGTATAAAGAAGCATTCAATGTTATAACATACTATATTACAACACAAAATATATTTGATGAAGAATTGAAGCTATACCGTTTTCTTTCATTTTCTTCCTCAATCCGCTTTGCTTCAAGAAGTTCCTTGCCAATTCGAATTCTTTCCTATTAACAGGAAACATACTAGACTTGGTTACCAATATAAAAAATGAACTTATAAAGATCACAATTGAAGATACAAGACTTGTCACAAAAATAAAACAAGCTTTTGATGTTACTCATGATGCAAAAGTTTTAAATGAAAAGTGACCAAATGTGATTTCACATAAAATGACCTAGATGACTACCAGTATATATGAGATACATATTACATAATGAATAAAATTCTTTGCTGAAAAAACATATTATATTTGAGTTTAAATAATACAAGTATCTCGAAGATAAATGCTCCCCCTCTTAGTATATCATCAATATGCTTAAATTCTTTCAAATTACATAGAAATTTTGTAGATCATTGATGCCTACATCGGTGAAGCTTAAAATATGAAAATGCGAGGATGATGCATGGTCTGGAAATTTTGAGGCAAAGCATAAAGTAATACAAAACATTCAAATGTTACTTGTTTCATGGACTTTTAACGTTGAAAGTCAAACGTCTAACAAATTATTACTTACATATGTACAAATATAACGTTCATTGACGTTTTGTTACTTCCCCAGAATTGTAGCGAAATCCATAAATACTCTCCATAAGGCAAACCCCTTTTCATTAGAGAAAACATGAGGTCCCCATCTCCTTACCCACATAATTTTCTTACTTTGGAAACTTGTCCTCTGATCCTATATCTCATAGGACAAGATGGCATTTGAATTCTTCTAAGCACAGGATAATAATAAATCTGAATGAAAGTTGTATATTGACTTTGAGACAAACCCAAAAAACAGCTTTTCTCTTCCGATACTCTTAACAATTATTTTGAGTGATTATATTAACATAAAATATAGGACGTATTACATGATATAGCCCAAACAAGCATTCCATTTTCCCAGAGCTTTTTTGTTGTGCTAGGTACCACACCACCAAGTACCAAAGTTTAATATAACAGAGTCACAATAATGCATATTCAGAATTATGTGCATTGATTTCATTAATGCCAGTGGAAACAAACAGAGTAACATGCTTATAGAAAAGGAAAAAACTAAATCATTACAAATTGTCACATACATATGTACCTTTCTTTAAAGGAAAATGAAAAGTACTTGTATTAACAATGAACAGATTCGTAAATAGAGTGATGAAGCTACGTATAAGACAACTGTACAGATTCAGATCAAAACAGCAACCAAAATTACGGCAGGCCAGATATCGGAAAAGATAATATAAGTCTATCTGTAAATATGTATTCATGTATTTAAAGTACATATGAAGCCACCATTAAGAAAAGAAATAGAAGATTAAGAAGTACCTTTTCCCTTTCTCTTTCAGCTTTCTTTTCTTCTTCCTCTTTCTTCTTGCGAGCTCGCTCCCTTAAAATATTTACAAAAGCATTAGCTAACAGACAAAAAAGATCGATATAGCAGGGGAATTAAAGCAAGCAGTCTAATAAAGTGTATATCAGTTTTCAGTGTTCCAAAGAAAAATACTAGAAACATAATATAACAATTGAAGAAATGAAAGTTTACATTCGAAGTTTGAAATTACTTAAAAAAATAAAAAGATTTAACAAGAAACACGAATCTGTTAGGATCCCACATTGGAAGGGAAAGGGGTGGGCATGTGGGTTATAAGGGCTTGGGCACCCTTCCTTGGCAAGCCGGTTTTCCAAGGAGAGTTCTACCTAAGCCCATGAAAGACCCATGGCCTAGCCCAATTGTTTAAGTAGTTAGGGTGGGTTCCTATCAGAATCTAATAAAATCTTTAATTCCTAAAGCCTACCCTTAACCCACCCCACCAGCATATATGAAGAGTGACAAGACAGTAGCATGCAGCCAAGAACAGCCAAAATACATTCTGGGGATGCATTCATCAGAGAAGTAAACAAGTAGCAATTACATAATCCTATCAGTGTAGGAAGAGGTTGCATAAGAGTATGTCATACCTTAGTTCTTGTGCTTTAAGCTTAACTTCTTCAGGTGTGAGAGAAGGTTTAGAAGCATCGACATTAGTGCTGACAGGTACCTAACCATAAAGAGTCCAACAGGATTAAGTTTGATAAGTACGCACATTCAACATGTACATTTATACATATATTCAATATCTTATTACAGGATTTATTTTCACAAAATCAACTGCTTTAGATTTCATAATCTCAACAAACAAATTGTACCCCTGAAGTTTCATATGTACCGAAAAATTGTTATATCAAACCAAAATTAAGCTCAAAAATAAAAATTACTATCATAGATGTGTGAATTCAAGAATCAGATAACTATAATTGTGATATTCAAATAGGTTGGAGGTGATATGAGTGAATTTGAGTCAAATGTAAGATTGGTTAGATTAAGGACAAACAAAAGCTGATGGTCATTTTTGAACACATAGAAATGAAAATAATTCAAAAGGTACGCATAAAGATAATAACAAAGACTTGTCCAAATATACATGAGCACGGATATTATACCATGGGCATCTGGTCTATATCTGGGTCATTCTCATGTTCAACTATCCAATTCACAGCAGCCTCAAGACTGGCATTACCTGAAGATAGAAAACAATAACAATAAACCCCATAGTTAGCCTACAATCAAGATAAACATGCACATAATGCAAATATAATATTGAAGAACCATCAATAGTGTATGTTAAAACGCATTAGTATGAAAAGATATTTAGAACCATGTATAACCTGAATCAACGGCCCAAAATCTAATTAAAGCAACATGAAATTTCCCCAATTATTTACTGTATAAAGGAAAACATATGTTCCATAATAGGATCAAGCACTGCTAATTTTAAAAATGCCGTGTGGACAAGAGTTGCTCACTTCATTCTTCTCATTAGCTGTGCCTTTTAGAGCTTCTATCTAAAATGGACGTTTTTATTCCTGTCTTGGTCTCATTCCTCTCTAAATAATAATTTCTAATTCTTCTGAACAAAGAAAAAATGGACAAAAGAAGTTACTAAAGAATAGAACCCAAGAAACAAAATAAGAGGAAGAAGGAAGTCCATGGCAGCTATGCAAAGGAACCTTTGCTAATTGCTACAATTAACAAAAGGAGCTTCACTAATTACACATACAAAGGTAAGAAATATGTACGGGATCTGACCAATAGACTCAATAAGCAGTTGGTTCCTCTCATCAAAATGGACAAATGGACAAACACAAAAGTTAAAATCACCAAAATGTGGCCCATGTTCAAGCGCACAAACACCAACCTTAAAGTTGCCTGATCATACACCGTGAGATCATTCAATATAGAAGAACTGACAGCGAAAACAAGCATCAATGAATACATAGGAGGAAACCCACTTAAAAGCATACAAGTTAGCATATGTGGCTTGGGGTACCAATACATATTAATAGGCAAATCCACTTTCAAGCTACTATACCATAGTCTCCATATAACTTATTGTTAAGTCCAAAAGGTAGAATATCTCCTTCCTTCAGCACATTCAAATAAATGACTTTAACAAGAAAAACCTTCACAGCTCAACACTTTACGAAATATTAAGGATCCTAAGTAGTATACCCTAGCTTTTATCAAATAGCGTTACAAATAAAAAATTTTCCAATCCTTAATTTTCTTAGTTATAAGATGATTCAACAGACCAGAAATAAAAATCCCCGAGTGTTGGAGCTTCAATCTCAGTCTATGATTTTAATGTTTAATAAGAAAATCATATAATAATACTGCCCAATGACCTCACCAGAGTAATGGAGCGCCCGGGTTGCCCGTGCTGCAGGGAAACCCATTCCTTCTAGTTCCTCAAGTAGTTTTTTATCAACCTCTGGCACAACCATTTCTGAATTTTAAAAAAATAAAATAAAATAAGATATCGTTCAGAAAAAGAATACAGCACTAACCACCAAGCAATATTAAGTTTTAACAGAAAAGTACTCTATCTGCATAAAGGTACAACTTCTTTTATTTTTGTTTTTTAAATAAATAAAACTCATCCTCAACATCCCAGAGAAAATCTTTTATTTCAGAGGTAAAAAACAAAGCACAAGTAGCAAACCTACTAACAGATACCAACAACAATACGGTGTTTCTCCTCCACAATTAATAAGAACAAAACAATCATCCATTTCTCAAACAAACAATAAAGCTACTTCGTAAACAGCCAGAGGGCGGACACATATAAATGATATCCCCCTGAAATTCAAATGACACCAGTTCTCCAAATGTCACTAAAAATTTATATATCATAAACATAATAATAAAACAAACTAAAAAAACATAATCTAGTGTTAACAATTCAAAGTCAATTAACAATGCATAAAAAAACCCTCAACTAAAAGAGTACCTTCGGGCTTGCTACTACCACTTCCATCAACATCCATAGCCTCTCCCGATTCATCAGCCACTTTCGGAACCTCCAAACTTATCGGTTTCGCTGCCTCCGACGTCTTATCAGCAAACTCCGTATGCCCCGTCCTCTTCGTATGCAAATCACTTTCCTAAAAAATCAATCAAAAATTCACAAAATTTACGATTAAAATTCATAAAAGAAGGTTCCATGTTGTTAGGGAAATCTAGGTAAAATTCAATAAGACAGAAGTGACACCGTTTTGGATCGGCAAGGTTTGCCGCAAGAGGTGCAAACGAGATTGAGAATGGCCTCGGTGGACTCGGAGAAGTTGGAGTGAGAGGTGAGCTCGGCGTGCTCTTGAGCCTCCTGTACGGACTTCAATAGGGCTCCACAGTCCCCGCACTTCAATGACACCCCCGCCATTGCTCCAACTGCAAATCAAATCAAATCGATTGCGTCGATTTTGACTTGATGGGTGATTTTCGCTCTGTGTGTCTAATGTTTGGGTCGGTCGGAGACCTTTGGTCTGGTGGTGCCTTGTTGGTTTGGCAAAGAAAATCTTTTTCTCAACAGCAATACTTTCTTTTTTTTTTCTTTTCTTTTTTTAAATGAAATTTATTTTAATTTTGGGTTTACGCAATGATCCTGATGTGTAATTAAATAACAAAAAAATTCTTATGTTATGGAAATATAATAAAAATCTCTTTATGTTATAAAAATAACAAAAATCTGCCTATAATTAACTTCTAGGTATTAAAATAACAATAAATGATAAAAGGATAATTAAATAAATATTTATTAATTTATCATGCTATAAATTTTGAATGTTACACTAACAATTCATTAACATGTTATTTGTAAAATCTGAGAGCAATTTTTGTTATTTAATTAAACCTTGGAGTAATAAAGAAAACCTCTTTAATTTTTAAAAATTAAGAATTTGTTTTAACTTATTTTCAAAATTCTAATATTAAATAAAAACATTATTGTTTGTTAAATAAATTACTATGGGAGCGTTTGGTTTAAGGAATGTTGTATTACTGAAAATGTTATATTAAATATGTTTGCTTAGATTGGAATAAATTAGTCGGTATATTATATTGATATGTTTGGTTGAGAGGAATAAATTGATGGGTAAGTTATGTAGATTACTGAATTGTCCTTCTTTTTTAATATTATTATTTATTATTATCATTTAGATAATTTTTTAGCCCCTACATTTGAAAACTTAACAAAGACAATCCTATAATAAAAGTTTAAAAATTAATAAAAACAGCCTAGCCACCCACAAAGATTGTCGGCCGATGGCCGACGGTCACCGAAACGATGCACGACTGATCGAATCTAGCCGATCGTATACTGATCTAGCTGTTTCAGGCCAGATAGATGTGGTCATTTCCAGCATGGTCCATGGATACTTTTTGAGTATGAGTGTACTTTTTATGTAAAAATTATTTAAAAAAAAAAAATCATTTATACTTCCTCTCTATATGGTGTACTCGAATTGTAACAAAACAACCCAAAGTTTTTGTTGTTTAGCATGTTTGGCACAATTAATGTGATGTTTTTCTAATGCCTACCAATTTTGAGACTTTTGTAGAGTGGTCCACTTTTGAAAAGGAGAAAACAAAAAATTTGTTTTAAGTACCCTAAGAGGCTAAGAATGAGTATTTATATATATAGTTGTGTGGTTTTTCCGCCAAGCTCAAGCCAACTCGAGGGTATAGCTTGACCCATAATGAGCTCGGCAACTATGATTGATCGACCCAGCATAAGCTCGTCAAGTTGTAGCTCGACCTAGCATAAGCTTGTCGAGTTGTAGCTCAACCCAGCATAAGCTAGTCGCGAACAATTCAAGGAATCATTCAAGCAAATCCCAGATTACTTCAGATCCCAGATATTGCGGGAATGACTGGATCAACAGTTATCACTGCGCAATCACAGCGCCCGATCGCAAGGATATCAGAATTATGGTTCGAATCAATTGTAATCCCCTTAATTTCGTTTTTTCCTTTGTACAAATCTTGTATATAAATCCCCTCAGACAATGAGAAGGGGGTCAGGAATTTCAAATAAAAATTGCATTGTAAGCTGTCACAGCAAATAAAAAACACAGTGGACATAGGCTGTTAACCTAGCCGAACCACTTTAAAAATCTCTTTGTTTCATTCATATTCATTGCTGACTCTTTGTTTTTAGTTCATTTCATTCATATTCATTGCTGATTATCACTAATCACGAACACATCGGTTCCAATCCCGGAAAGGTCAATCGGATCTTGCTAGTTGGTCAAAATTATGTACCAACATTTTGGCACTAGAAGGAAGGCCCCGCCATTTCAAAGATTCTGGAAAATGTTCACCGCAATTTACTTGTTCCAGGATGAAAATGGTGTACACTAGATCGAAAACTACCCCCGAAAATCACAAGAACGTGGAAACCACCAACTAGGAGGTGCAACAGGAGAACGTTGGATGCCAATCACCTATGCTGCCAGCTCAGCACACCGCAAACAAACAAGGGGCAGGGATGTCAGACCCCAAGAACAGCTAGCTGATGGAGATGATCAGGATAATGGTTGCATAGGCAATGCAACAAAATGTGGTTGAACTGAGGAACCAACAACCAGTTGCCTAGAACCTCGACCATCTGCACTTCGCCAACGCCACCCCAACAGGTATGAATTCTGTAGGTGGACAGTCTGTTTCGTCGCCACCAAGGAGCAATCAACACCTCCAACCTCGCAAGTAACACTTCACACACGAGCATGAGTCTCACAGGCAAACAAACCTTGGGAGGCAACTGGGGAAGCAGTCACTAAGGGAAAGCAAAGGCAACGGACACCATTGAGAAGCTCAGCGGTATCCCTAGTGTCAACATGCCGGTTTTAACCCATGCCCAAGGCAAGATCTATCTTCACAGGCTCGCGAAGCGAGTTAGGTGTGTCAATCTGGCAATGACCGATGTTTGGATTATGACCAACGTCCGAGCAACGTACTGACGTGCATAATAGCACCTATCAACCCAGCCATCATGACTTGACCTTGCGCATCAACGCGCACGCCAGAGGAGTTTTGCAAGCAACAAACTTGCGAACTCATTTGCTTGAGGTAAGGCTTAACAGAGCCAGCCAGGGCAACCAAAATTAAGACTTAGATCGCATGTAGAGGATGCTCGATAATCTAAAAGCTCGCCAAACAACCTAGCGGAGGAAGTAGTAAGTTCCCCTTTTACGGAGGAAGTTCACCAAGCCTCACTCCCACAAGGGTTCAAGGCACCAAAAAGCAAGTTCGACGGGAGTGGGGACCCTAGAGACCACCTCGACAACTTCAATGACTTGATGGAGCTACAGTAGGTCAGTGACTTAGCGAAATTTCGGTGCTTCGCAGTCACATTAGTCAGAGATGCCAAGAAGTGGTACAAAAGGCTCAAGGCGAACTCCATCAACTCCTAGCAACAATTCTCCTCGTTGTACTTACAACAATTTCAGGTGAGGAGATAGTTCGCAATGCCGCTTAGCTACTTGAGCAACATTCGCCAAGAGCGAGACAAATCACTAACCTCGTATTTATCAAGGTTCTAGAACAAGCAGGCAAAAGTCACTGATGCCCCCGAAGAATCCATTCGAACTCTACTGATCGTAGAAATCAGACCTAACACGGAGCTGTGGAAAGAGCTCTAGAGTGAAGAACATGTGAGCATGGCCAAATTCTACAAGATGGCCGTGAAATACCAACAAGTAGAGAGCTCGTTGGCAGCGCTAGCTAGAAGCTCAATGTAGGGGGCCTAGACAGGAGACAAGATCACCTCTTAGATAAGCGTGGGGGTCAAGATCGCAATGACAGTGATCGCAACAGGCCTTAAAAGAATTAGAGGATAGATAACCACGGTAACAGGCAACCTTTCCCGCAGTATGCAGAATACACCCCTCTCACTCAAGACATCGCCCACATCTATGAAGTGTCCCGAGAGGCGAAAAGACTGCCCGCTCCAAAAAGGATGAGAGGGGTTCCAGGTGGAAGAGATAGGTAGAAATATTGGCGGCGCCATAGGGATGTCAGGTACAACACGAATGATTGTCGAGCCCTACAGACCCCATCGAAGACTTGATAAGAAAAAGGCCACCTGAAAGAATTTGTTAAGGCAAAACCGGCTTGCGAAAATCTTGGCGAGCAAAGTAGCCAGGCCCTAGCACAAGTTCAGGTTCAGGTTCAGGTTCCAACTCAACATGCTCAACCAAACCCCAACGAAGTCTTCATGAATATGATCTATGGAGGACCCGACATAGTGGGGAGCTCGAGAGGGCTCGCAAGCAATATGCTCGGGAAGCGAGGACAAACTCGGTTCCCTATATATTGAGCTACGAGAGAAAGCCACCGAAGCAACCCAAATAGGAAAGCCAAATAGGAAAGTGAGGTAGTGGGGTTCACAGTTGACGAGTGCAAAACATCTCCACGTCATAATCATGACACAATTATAATCACAACCAGGATCGGTAGTGCAAGAGTGTTAAGGGTTATGGTCCACAACGGGAGCGCGACAAACATCATTTTCTTGGAAGTCTTCCGAGGGATGGGATTCACAGAAAGGAACCTACGAGCGTGTCCTTCACCACTTTATGGTTCACTGGGGACAGCCTGGTTCCCAAAGGTACTATCAATCTTCCCGTAACTCTGGGGACAGAACCAAAGGTCAGAACAGTGATGGCCAAATTCTTAGTGGTAGACTACCTGACCACGTACAACATCATCCTTGGAAGGCCAATCCTGGATAATTTAAGCGCAATCACATCGATACGCTGCCAAGCGATGAGATTTTTTACTTTCAGAGGAGTTGCAGCGATCAGGAATTGCACCAAGGAATCTCGAGAATGTTATAATCGGGCTATAAACACTGCACAGAAATGGTTGCACCCAAGGACAATGATCATCGCAGAATCCAAGCTGAACCTTAAACCGCTAGTCCGCTACAAGACACTATAGATCCTCGCATACACAAATAAGAGCTCGTAGTGGGACCGACCAAAGAGCTACTAGAAATATGTGTTAGCAAGGAAGATCCAATTCACGTGCTGAAAATTGGCAGCAGCTTGACCAGAGAAATGGCCGATAATTTGGTTAGGTTCTTGAAGAGGAACCTCGACATATTCGCATGGGTGCACGCAGATACGGTTGGGATTAACCCCGAGGTGATGTACCACAAGTTGAACCTCGACCTACAGGCTCGACCCATAAGGCAGAAAAGAAGGACTATGGATGTAGAGTACTCTCAAGCGCTCAAGGATGAAGTCGACAAACTCTTGGAAATTAACTTCATCAGGGAAGTCAATTACCCAAACTGGCTCAAGGAAGTCAATTACCCAAACTGACTCACCAACCCAGTCCTAGTCAAGAAGTCGAATGGCAAGTGGCGGACTTGTATCGACTTCATGGATCTGAACAAAGCATGTCTGAAAGACAGTTTTCCGCTATCACGAATCGACCAGTTAGTAGATGTGACAGCGAGAAACACACTACTTAGCTTTATAGATGTATACTCGGGATATAACCAG